TCTAGTAGGACTGGACAAGGATGCATTCATAAAATATTTCCTTTGTCTTTCTTGCTTTGCTGGACTGCAAAATTGAAGCACAGTTTACTTTTAGTGTCAAGAGTTCTTTTGAACACAAACTCAGAATTGTGAAGTTTTCTCCCATATTTCAGGAAGCTTGAAGAATATAAGTGCTTGCAAACATGCTGTTCAGAATGAGATATCTCTTTGGTAATTCTTGTGCTAAGTGGAAAGTAGCTATAGTCAATTTTTCAATAAAGAAAGTGTAGATAGCTTAAGGTAGCATCTTCATTTCTGGCAGCCCTAGGCATATGTGAACAAAAAGTATTTTTAACATTCCTGTGAAGTAAATAAGAAACTGCTCTTTTTCTTATTCTTCAGAAAGCCAAAATGAGACTAAGTTAAAGATGATTTAAAGATAAAGGTGTTTTAAAGATAAAACCCTTAACTAGGGTTTCAGTTTGCTGCTGTACTCACTTTGTTAACCACTGAACATGTCAGAAGTGTTAGTTGCGTATTTTGCTAAGAACAAGATGTATCTGCATTTGTTGCTATGGCTGTTAAGACGTTTTGAGCAGCCACGGCTGTCACTGGCAGCACCCGTAGTTGTGACTGCTCAACACGTGGACGAACTGTGCCAAGCCCATGCAATCAGTGGCACAGCATTCGTTAGGGAATGCAGGAAGTACCGTATGTATGCTGGTGTAAATCATCACAACACTCCATAGAAAATGAATACCATTAAATTCAGTGCTCAAAAAAGTTTCATAGGTACAGTATCATAAAGAATAAAAGGAGAAATCATAAAAATCTACTGTTGGCTTCTAGGTTGACTAGAAGTTGGCACCAACCAAACAAAAACCAGCTCATATATTTGCTTTGAAAACTCTATTAGTATTATTTCTGTTTGCACTGCATGACATAAAAACCCTATTAAACCTTCTAAAATCTTTCATTTGCTTGGCCACCTCTGGTGACAAAACTTGCCAATGAAACATGAATATCATTGATCACATGAGACCCGTGAATAGACTTTGTGTTAACAGTAGGTACCCATTCTACTGTCAGCATACTGGTATAGGCAGCCTTATCCCCATGATATGGAGACCTATGAAGTGCATGCTTCTTGATGAAGAAAATTTCTAAAGGCATTTCTTAAGGTATCTTCTACTTAGCTATCCAATTAATATAGTTGCAATAGTATTTAGAGGCTTTTTATTATATTTAATAAGCAGAAATTAAAGTGATATAAAGAACTTTGCAGTTCCAGTCCCAAAAGTGTTTATCTTTCAGAAAATGAACCCTTTCTCACTTGCACGGTCCTGCAGTGTATCCACATTGGTAGAATTTGATTTCCCAAATTGGAGGATAGCTGTGAGGCAAACTTGAAACTGTTTTTTGAAATTATTATTTCTGTTCATTGGAGAAAAAAGGGAAAATGCCTTACAGGGAAGAGACCTAGTCTTTCTTGAGTTCTTCGTGGGAGAATACATAGTGCAGTATATCATAGGAATGAATAGACGATGCCCTTGTCTATTCATAGTTGCCCATAACAAGAGGAGAAGAGAAGATGATAGGCTAGACTCCTTTCTTTTGATCCTGTGCAGTGTTACATGTCAAAAGGCTAGGATGGCAAAGAATACTCAGTGCAGCACAACCTCTTCTCAGTTTCGTTCACCCTTATTTCACTGACTCAAACCATGTAGACTTCTATGTTGATTAGAGGATTGTGTTCAGGAGCACTGGGTAAAGCTTTCTGCAAAGTTTTACCAAGGCATTTCATACCAATTTCAAAGTGCCTACACGTCACCTTATATTTGCCCTGCTTCTTAGACTTTTCTGCATCCCTTGGAAGCATCTGTATCTTGGTGACTTTCAAGGACAGGGTACTGGACATTTACTCTGACAATACAGTTTTCTTTGTGTTTCTTTGTTCCTCTGGAAGAGCAAAAGTCTGTCTTTAGGATGATATAACTAGGGTAACTATGTCCGACTCTTCCTAAAAAAGAGCCTGAGTCAGGCTAACAAACTTAGGTTTGAGCACTGAAAAGAGGGGACCTCAATTTCCAGGGAATCACTTACCAGACCTGAAGAAATGGTTGCTTAGTGTATGAATTCCCACGAAGCAGAAAGGAAGAAACCTCCAAAATTCATTTTCCCTTCTATCTTTGAGGGCAGCTCAGAGAAAACTCCACATGTGGGTTGTTTGTTTTTTTTTTTTTCTTCAACTAGAGCTTGTATTAGTCAAAAGAAAGGAGAAAGCAAGCTCTGATTATAATCTCACTTATTTGAATATTCAAGAGTGGGTCTACTTTAAATAGATACATGAAAGGACCATTCTCATTCTCACCACAGAGGAATTTCTTTCACTGTGGCAATGACAACTTTATTTTGTCTGCACCTGTTTAACTGCATGAGGATGCTTTGAGGACACATAGCATTTCCAGGGGCAGCTTTTACAATTTAAATTTTCTGTTTTACAATGGGACCAGCTTTTCTGAAGATTTGGTTGAAGGAAGAAGTGACACCTTGAGATATCAGTCAGAATATAAAATGAACAGAAAAAAAATGCAGATTTAGCAGCTGTTTCCTCTGGGCTAACTGAGATGAAGACCTAGAGGAAGATGTGGGAACAGATTATGTCTCAAGCCAAGACCGGTAGCTTAGTGCACATGACAGAATGCCTTGCATGCCTTTGACCTTCAGGCTGATTATTAGAACAGTTTATCGAAATATTAAACAGTGTCAACATATCACAAAATATTCCTTGCTCAAACCTATACTTGTGGAATTGACAGACAAGAGGAAATGTTAACTAGTAGCAAGGCTATATCCCACTTTGCAAGAGCGTAATTGCATTTGCAATTGCCAAACCAAAGTAAGAATAAAACATATATTTCATGACAGTTATCAAACAGAAGAATTTGGTAAATGTGTATCTGAAGATATGTCTGGCATATTTCCTATTACATGGAATATAAGGTTTTGTGCAGACAAAACAAGGGAAGGTATTTTATAATAATATTTATTAAAAATGCAGTATTTCTGTAATTCTGCCCTCATTTGTTACCACCAAACACGTCATATTAAAAGAAAAAAAAAGGTAAATTTCTTGAAATAGGATCTCTAAATAAGAAGGAGAGAAGTTTTTCTTTCAGATGAAAAACACAACTTAGTGGTATGTGATCTGAAGCCAGGTCCATTGCTTTATAACCCATTCACAATCTGTACTGTTCTTTATCTGCAACAAGTGACAGATAAAAGGCTTTATCACTACAAACATCAGGCATGTCTATAAGGCATGACTCTAGTATGCCTGTCCCTTCAGTAGCTAGTAGTGAACTTCATAAGACCAGTAAGAACAATGGATGCTTTTTTTTATCTTGTGTAGGCATGATAGTGTTTAAATTCACATAATGAAAGTGATAATTAAAGTACGCTAAATCATTGCAGAATATTAATTATCTGTGTATGATACACATATATTTTAGATTTTTTTTCATGATGCTCTATTGATTTGTTCTTTTTATTTTTTCCTTCTAAAAGAGAAAGTAAAAGAGAAAGTCAGTTCAGATTCAGTCTTCTCTTGGCCTGCTAGTATAGATTACTCATCCTTCCAGCAAATGGAAGGTCTTGTCTTCTCCTCAGTCTAGATGTCACAGCAAATTATTATTTTTAGAGCTCAGTTGTGCAGGAATGTTTAAAGCAGACATTCTGTAACTTATACCCATATAATGCCTCACTGCTTGAAACACTCATAAGTCACTTTCAAGGCACACCAAGGATTTTTTTTTCTTATTTAAAATCTAATTTGATCATCTGTGCTTTAGCCAAAACACATAGACTTATGATTACAAGATTTTTAATGCCTCGGTACTAACCATCAAGAAAAACAGAGGTGTCCCACAAGCTGTATTAGGTGCTGTAATTTGTTATGGTTTTGTACACCATTTCTATCAAGTTCTTTAGAAATTATCCTGCTTTAAATTAACACAAGCTTAAAGCTGCAATGGTATTGAAAAGGATTTTCTGTTGATGTTGTTAATCAACATGATGTTGTTAAAGCCATAATACTTGAATTTGGGTTTGAGCTGCCTAAAAGGACCCTTTTTTGTTTGACAAGGCATTTTTGGTCAAGGTATCAGGTGTGCTCCTTCCCTAACATACTTGTTACCAAAGATTTTATTAACACTGAGATCTTCACGGTTCCGATTACATGTGTTTCATAACCTTCAACCCATTTCCATTCTCTGATGTGCTTGAGATGGTACTGTTTCACAGAAAATCCTGGAGATACTGAAATAATAATGGTGTGTGTTTGATATAATTGTCACCTTTGTTCTCAAAGGGAAACCACAGCCTGTTATGCATAGCACTTTTCACAGAGATATTATTCTTTGGTCACTTTCCCCCTTTTTGCCTGTGTATGTGTGTATATCTATGTATGTGTGAGAGAGAGAGAGGTTAAACCGCCTGGAGATGAATGTTTTTTCACTGACCATAAAAATCAATGTATTAAGTTTGTTGGAAGTTTTGCTGAGAAACTGCCGAAGTTTGTGCTATTCATTGCAATATAAAAATCTTACTACAGTATTTTCTAGTTGCTAGGCTCCCTGGACAGATTGCTTGAAGCATTTCCTTAAGCAGACATAAAAGAAAGGGGATGGGCTGGAAAAAGAAGGGAAGAAGCACTGGGGGAACATTGCATGCAAAGGTTAGAAAAGACCAAATGTTTTGGAGAACAAGAAACCGTTCCATATTACATGGACTAGGAGTGGCAGGAGGAGAGTAGATCCATGACTTTGCCATCCTTTCTTGTAATATGCACTTCAAGCAGGCAGCCAGGAAAAGGCTCCACTGAAAGGCACCATTTAGCCTCAGACTTGTATTGAGGCACAGTGCCTTTTTTCTCCTGGTAAGAACCATGCTCAGTTACCCTGCATAAGATTCTCCCCTATGTTAAAGGCTACTTCCATCTTTCCAACAATGTAAAGGTACTCTGAAATTAATATGAAGAACTGTGGAAGGCTTTCCCTAGACCTTCAACCTTCCTGGAGAGGGTCTTCCTGGGAAGATTCCCTGTGAGATTCACCTATGCCACTCTGGCATCTGTCCTACTTAGGTCTCTAGAGAGCTGATGAAGGGCATCTTGACCTTTCTTTACACTGGAACTCATGTCCCGTTACCAGCTGAAGGCATTGATCTAGAATTATTCCAGGGGTCAGTTAGGAATTAAGAGGAAATAGAAGAGCAGCAAGAGCAGCTCTGTGCATACAGCCTTGGCCATTGCTTCAAGGTAAGGATTGGTGGAGATTTGGACTTGATAAATAAAGATAGATTAGACAGAACTAATAACGTAACTTCATTTTCTTCAGTGTTCAAAGTTAAAATTTCCGAGTTTGCAAGGGAATCTTAAGGAAATTAAAAAAATTAATTCAAACTTCTGAACTCTCTCAGGCCTGTTTTCAAAACCGCAGCACTGATCATATGGTTTAGTTTTATTTCCTGAGGCAGTGAATTGTCCTGTTTTTTTATGTAATAAATCTGGTTTTGATCATAAGTTCCCACTTTAGACAGAATACATGTGATGCATAAATAAGCCACTGAGCTCGTCTTTAGTAAGATATCTTCAGTAATGTATATAAGTTTGAGGTTATCTGAGGGTAGATGTTCTCGCTATGTATGCTTTAACTGTATTCTTGACGTTAATGTCTAAAGTTTTGACTGTGAAAAATGTGAGGTCAAATGTTCACTGTTGAAAGAATTTAACCCAGTCCCAGATGGTGACAATTTAACTCAGTCACACAAATTACTCAGTTAACAGCAGGAGTGGAATTACTCAGTGTGTCATTAAAAATTAGACATTTAGCATATTGCACTATTTGTTCTCAGGCAAAAACTTTGTTAATTTAAAGTTAAAATTGCAGATGTAGTCAATGTAATCTTTATTCAAATTACATGACAATGTCATTAAAGCAGTTTCAAAACTGAAATGACCACTGACAGTCATGTGTACGTAGGTAATGATGGTGCCAATATATGGAATTGATTAAGTGTGATTTTATATGCTTAGTGAAAGCTTTGAAACTTAACCCAGAAGACATTATTATAGACTTTTTCAAAAGGTACATGACTAATAATATATTTTACATCTCAAAGGTAGATTTTCATAGTGCTGCTGATTTCCCACACTGGACCTACCCATGTGGCCTTTGCCCTAATGCAAAAGTTTCTTCGTACTTGTAATTCCCTTCATCTAGTTTCTGCCTTAGGATGCCTGTAAAAAGTTTCTCTCTATGTTCCATTGGCAGCTGCTATAAGTAATACTACTTATATACCGTAGCTATATGAGGCAGCAAGCTCTGAAAATAGTTATTCATAAGGAAACTAATTTCAGTTATTTGGAAGTAGTAATGTCTTTTCAGGAATGGTAAGGCCACAGAAAATCTCAGGCTAATCTTAGATGCAACAGTGTCAAGACACAATGATTAGAAACTTCAGATACTCCCAAACATGTTGTTTCTGAAAAATAATTATTCACTTTCTTGAAGGGAGAGGGGAAGTTGCCCTCAAACTCTGAAAGAAACTGAATATTTGGAGTCATCTCATGCATTCTGGGGTTCAGGAAATGTTAGAATGAGCCAAATAATGAGGCCTGATAGAACACTTCATTCTGAAGAAAGAGTCATTCTCTCTTCGCTATTCCTTTTTTTAAAAGCTATGATTGACTTTATTAGAATAAGAATTACCCACAGGTTTAGTATCTCTCTTCTTTCTTTTCTTATGGCATTGTCTGTAGCTTTTCTGCTGCAATACTCACTGAAGCTTAGAGCTGTGGGAGATCAGTGAAAATGATCTGGGAATTAAAAGCTGAGGGGAATCCCAGAAAGGAGTATGTGCATGGTGAGCTTGATAACAGTGTTAGCCAGATTCAGCCTGCAGAAAGGCTGTTTGATAAAGGGAGCAAGACGCCTGAAGGGGAATTAGAGAAGATTATTCAGCACTGTGAAGTATCAAAACTTTCAAGACTATGTCTTCACTACAATTAACATAGGCTATTACTCTTTGTCCCTGACCTATTTACTGAGTCTGACTGCTTGAGAGTTGCAGTGAATGTAGAGGTACATCTAACTTTGGAAGTTCATTTCACTAACAGTGTTGCCACCTTGAAGGCAGAGCTGTGACCCTTTCCTTATTTCTCAGAGGGACAGGGTTTTTTCTTGCCCAATTCATTAGGAGACACAGTTTATACTGTTGAAATTAATTTTGTTGAAATATTCAGAATTCTGACCGCTGCACTCAGCAGTCTAGAAACTCATGTAGTGGATTGCAAATTGAATTTTGGTGTGGTTGGTAGCATGACTGGTCATGGCAAAACTTCACTGACTCAGATGCTGTTCATCCTGAATCCCTCTGCAAAGAATTGTATCTAAAAATGGAGACATTGGTGAAAGAAAAATAGGGTGAGGTATTGTGGAATTTGGGACTGTAACTCAGCAAAGTGTCTAAGCAAGAGGCTTAATTTTAAGACTACTTGAATCTATCACTATTTGCCAAAAGACTTAAGCCTTTTAAGTTTTGTGAAAGTGACTTCATTTGGACTTCTGAATGTGCATTGCATGTGTCCTTTATTGAATTAAATTTAATTTCTAATTTGTAGAAAACTAATGAGGAGAAACTGGAAGGGACACTAGAAGACACAAAGGGGAAATGGGGGAATGAAGAGATCTGGAAAAAGACTGAAATGAAAAGCAATGCGTGAAGTTCAAAGGATTGCACGGGTGTCAAAATTCAGGTCTTGATATGTGAAATTAAGACAGTGGGGGAAGGGTGGAAGAGACTGACGGATGTATAATGAAAAGACACAAGACAAGGTAGATAGATACAGAACCTACTGCAGAGTAGTACATACATTGCTCTGGCATTGGTAATATTCTAGGATTTGCTCAGTTAAATTTTTTCCTGTCTTAACATTATATGTTAATCTGAAACTCCAGAAGATTTTTGGTTAGTTTCTCTGGAAGGCTGAAGCAGGTCTTTCTAAAGGGAAGGATTACGTACTCGAGTTTTAGGAGGGAAGGTGTATACTACAGCAAAGAACCAGTCAGTAGGTGTGCGCATGCTATCTAAAATGGTATTTTGGAATAATGGTATAAAAGGACATTGCATAATTAGTCTGTGTTGGG